TAGTTAAAAAAGGGAGAGAGAGAGAGAGGGAGAGAGAGAGAGAGAGAGAGAGAGAGAGAGAGACTGCAGCATATAATTCAACAAAGTTGTCAGTGCTTTTTAAATGTATTCAATTAGGAACAGTTCATTACAAAACTGCCTTTTATTCTTTTTTTACATATTTTAAACAAATAAGAATTTTTTTAATATAAAACAATATATTCATAGAATAAATATATAATTTTGAGCATCATATATAGATATTAACATTACTTAAATTTCAATTTATGTACAACAAACTTATACATTGTGAACAAATGCACAGTTTGGAAATCACTGACCGCGAAAGAGAAAATGCAAAATAAATAATCAGAAAGCAATACATAAGTAAAGCCGTGTGTATGATTAGAGTTTCGAAAAATGTAAGAAATAGTATATGTTTCACAATGGAAGAACAATCTTGCTAAAGTATTTAAAAACTTAAATACAAATATGAAAATAATTTTGTTTTGAACCATCAAAATAATTATATAGAACGCTTAAACATTGATGACAATGCTGCAAAAGATTAACATTCTTTAAACATTCTAGCAACCGTCCTACGTAATTATTTTGAAAGTTCAAACAAAATTTTCATATCTGTATATCTAACCAAATTAGAAAAAAATGTTATATACATGGACATATTTTATATTTAATTTTATTTATAATTGTATATAAAATATGTCAATTTTTTATATAATTATATATAATTTTATATAACTATATATAATTATATAACAAACACTTTTTCTCGCGATATTTTAGTAAAATTATTCTTTCCGTGCAGAAATAATTATTGAAAATAACATAGGCCCACAAAAAAAAGTACCCTATAAATGGGAAGACCCAGCTATTTTTATGTATTTTGAATTGCTGTATACGAATATTCTTATGTATTTTGAATCTAACATCAAAGTAGAACCATCCAAGGTAAATTTTCAATCTAGAGCGAAAAAATGATTCATTTTTTTCCCATTTTTTGACTTATTTTTTCGCTACATAAGAATAACTGGATCTCCCTCAGCAGGGGTACTTTTTTTGTAGGCCTGTGTAATTATTAATAAGAGCTAGAAAAAGATGTTACTTTTAATTAAATTAATTACTTGCAATATATTAGGTGTTGGAATTAATTCGTAGCGTTTTTTAATGAAAGAATGTTATTTATTTCACATGAGCATTAAAAAATACATTAATGAAAGTACTTCCCATCACTTGTAAAACGCTACGAATTAATTCCAACACCTAATATATATATAATGTAACATATTCCATAAACATTCCTTAATAAAAAAAATGTTTATATTATTTTATAATATTTTTAGAAATTTGACATATTTTAAATTCATAAATATTTTTAGATAAATTACTTTAAATTTTTATACTTTTTTCAGAAA